AAGTCAGCTTTTCTTCTACAGTAGTTCAGCTATTCCAGACAACTATTTCATATTGCTATTTAATAGCACATCCAATATAAGGATTCAATTGAAATTGTTGATTGTACAGTGAAAAACTGTATAGTCAACTGTACTCTACTTGCACACTGCGTATCTTGCAAACAAGAAGCACTGAAATTTAAAAGCTGGTAGCCAGAAAATGTAGCACTTGAGCTCCACCTACAGGATGAAAACATATATAAAACCACTTGGTTTTAATTACCAAACTAGAAGAGGACTCTACTCTGAAGCCTTTAAATGACCACCTCCAGCCACTGCCATTTTAGAAATTATGTAATGCTGATAAATTTGATTACTATTGCAATGATGGCAAACACTCCTTCTATCTGTATTCATTCCTTCACGTAAACAGCTGTTGCATACTTTGAAGTTGAGGTTTAAACTTTCTAATAAAAAACAGATGACGTGTGGAATTTCTCTACCAACTTGCCAGAATGAGTGGGAAATTCTTTTTCCCCAAGGTTCCATATTTAATACAAAATTAGAAAGTGTCTCAAAATGTTTTTTAAAATATACACAAAAGGTTCAAATGCATATTGAAATGACTAAAATGAACTTCACCGTTTGAGCACTCCAACTATGACTGCATTTGGAAGTGGTATTGGATCTCAATACCATGACCTTGAGAAAGTATCTATTGTTTCCATATTGTTTCTCTGAAACAGATGTCCAAACTTCCGACTTCACAAATGGATTTGTACTAAAAGAAACAGGACTGATACAATGAATACAGATTTGTAGAAAAAAGTCATGCATGTTAAAAGACAGTACCTGAAAAAATATTTTTAGAAGTTCAATTATTCTATTAGTACATTTAAATATCTGCCGAGATGAACAATTCTGATAGATATTAGATGGGTTTTGGCCCTCTGGTATGTTAATAGACATTACCCTTCAAGCTATGTATGGTATATCCAACTTTTTGTTTGGTATTTGCACCTCCCACGTCTCTGCCTGCTCTGATCAACACACACTTGGACTACAGTACACTTACAAAAAAGTCACTATTCTGGACAATGAAACTTGACAATGTTTATCTTACTTTATGTCATCAAACCTCAATGTTAATAACACCTTACTTATAACAAAGAATACCATGCCTTTGATTTTCATGCCAGAGGATGCCAGACAATTATTTGGAAAACAGTAAGTCTAGAAATTGATGGTTCCTGTGGTACTAAGCAGTGTCTCCCAAGGCTATGGCTCTCAACTGCTAAAATTGCATTCAATAAAACCCTCTTCTGAGATAAGATAACCCATTTGGCCATAATACTACTGCTACTGCCCTGAAAGAGTGGAATAGCCACAAACACAGCACACTGACATGCAGAGCCAGCAGTTTACAGAATGCCTACACAAATGTCTCTGAAAATGTGATAAAACATCATGCAAGCTTCCGCACACAGAGTATCCCATTCCTAAGGGTATGCTAAAGCTTTGTGTTCCCGTCATGCTACAAGCTTGTTACTATACCTTAGGCAACTTTGTTTCTAGCAGTCATCCCTGCAGAACCCAACAGACAATTAAACAGATTGTTGGGCAGATACATAGGCAGTAAGTACATACAGAGTCTGATGTCTTTTGCTGTTCTAAAGATGTTATTTGGCCGCCGTGTACTTGAAGGTACTTTTTCAGAAAAAGCTTTTCTTGGAGAACTTGTTAGATTTCTGAATCCTCATCTCCACTATCCTATACGGCTATCTAACAATAATCTGTATTTGTTTAATCTCCATGATCAAGAACAGTTCATCGACTCCAAGGAGCTTATATTTATTCTATATTGGGGAATATTACAGATAATAGCACAAACATTATTAGGGTGCAGGATTAATCAATCACTGAAGGCAGAGTACTGAAAAGCAGGAACTACTTCTTTCTGCAATCAGAAAACTGCTTCAGTACAGTATTTCTGCGAGATTAGAGACAGAAAACTACCTTGGGTACCCTTGTCCCATGTACTGACATATAACCATTTTAATTGACACATGACAAATATTCAGATAATTTACCACTGGGATTATGCATCATTCTCAACCATAGGACTAGTAACCAGATTTTGGGATCAAAGTTACCCGTCATCCTCCTTGATCTCAGTATACTTCCTGCTGTGGATCAGCTGTCTATAGCAGAGGTAGTACAGCCACCAATTTCCAAAGCAGCCACACAGCACAACTTCGAAGATGGTAGAAAGGAAAAACAGGGGATAGGTTTTTAAAAGGTGTCTTGTATATGTCCTCTGAAAGAATACCTAGTTATATCAAGCACAGCCATGAAAACATGGCACTAAATTTCACGTACTGTGATTTAGGTGCTCTTACAGAGAGAAAAGAAGACTGAAAAACAGAAAGCCAATGCTCATGAAATAGAGGTTTACGCTGGTGTACATAACACTACGTGGTTCTACAAAGAGATCAGATTTATGTACGATTCCGAAAGAAATAGATTGACATCAGTTTACAGATCTGACCACACAAATCTTGTTGACTACATAAAGTTTGCCAAAGCATTAAAGTTAGTTGCCTTGCCTCTAACTGAAAGTAAAATCAGGTAAACTGACAAGAAATCAAATAAAATGACAGGAAAAACTAATGCCCATTTAAATTACAGATTTTGTTTACTATAACCTTTTATGTTATTGTGCTGGATTTTTTATGTCAAATGCTCTTGCTTATTTATCTCCAGCTATTAAGTATATTGGGTCTCCTCTTCAGCAAATACAAAATTAAAAGGAACTTTGGAAGTAACATCTCGGTATGAGAAAGAACTGACTGGAACCTACTCAGATTTGCTCAAATTACAAAGGCTTCTGTACTGTACCCGGTGGGCTTCTCAGATTCAAATCAATACTGGAGAAGATGTAGAAAAGAACACTGAATTTCCTGCTTAAATCCCATGAATATTTTATTTTCTGGAGCTATCCAAACTTATTAAAGTGGTTAATAAAAACCCTTTTATTGGCCATGTTCTCACCAGGCTTTTCACTGCTCCAAGAAAGGCAGACAAACAGCAACACTTACAGTTCGTGTATTTTAATACATCAATATTAAAACATTATCCAAAATAATGCAAGTGTTCCTACTACTCTAAAAGCATGTCCTGCTTCTAAACATAGAACACACAGAGTTAAAAATACTACCTCATGTGGAATGCTCAAAACTTACTAATCTTGCTTTTAAAGCTCTATGAAATTCTTTCAGTAAAAATAATCAGATATCTGTCAAGTTGCAAATGTCAAGGTGTGATTTCCCTTTTCTCTTAATAATTAATTTTATTTTACAATTAAGGTGATGATTGAATGCCCACCATAACTGACAACATCTCCTTCTTCAATAACATATGGTTGGGTTTTATTTTTAGCAGGCGTATATATAGTCATATAAAACCAGAATGACCTGCAAGGGGTTCAAGTCAGATATGTGAATTTCTGATGACTTTAAAACAACTGGGTTTTTTTCATTTATTCCTTCTGTTTTCCAACCAAAGTTTCAATATGTATTTTATCTCAAAGTGTATTATTATTGCAACAAATTTATCTTCATGTATCTTGACCCAAAGCCTTTACTTCCCAGTTATTAATAGTGACAGTAACCGCTATGGAGCTTGTGAAGTGTTTATATTGAGTACCAGGTATTCTTTTGTCATAAGCAGACTTTCCTGGATTCTTCCATGTTGGCAATATGCCTTGGCCATTACATGCAAAACCATGTATGCAGTGGGGGTAAACAGGGGAAGGAAAAAAAAAAAACAAACCCAAACAAACAAAAACCGAGGAGGAATGGTTCAGTTCAGTGGAAACTGGAAACTGTTGTGGGAGAGAATCTAAGACAGCTCTGCATACATAGAATTTAGTATAGGCAAAGCCTGAATAATTTCATCAGGCAGTTACTTATGATAGCTGTGCAGAGTTAAGAATATACAATTTAAATTAACTTTCTGATGCTTCCTCCCCTTACCCCCAAGTAAGTTTCACTGAAAAGTAAATTTACACATTGAACTTTGTAAGTGCAAAGACTTAATTGTTCGGTAACTTCTGAAGCCCATGTTTATTGAAATACTGGACAATATTTTCTAGTAAGCTTGCCATCAGATCCACTACACACCACTTGCATACCTGATGAAAGCTTTCATGAAACATAAATATTATTAGGTGGAAATTCCCAAACTATCTCTGAAAGAAAGACTGCTGAGACACAAGGTTCCAAGAAGACAAATTAACTCACTGGAAATTGAATGCTAATCAATGCAGATGTTAACGAAGGCTGGCACAACTGTATTATATGACTAGAACCCACACTTCTATGTCTGTAAAGAGCTGAATGCTGCTACAGAAACATAGTCATTTGCCTAGAGCTAGTTTAATAATTTGAATACAGTGCTACGCTACTGAACACAGACATATTACAACCCTCTAAGAACAGGCCTAGATGGTATTTAAAAACTGGTGTATCAATTGCAGCATTGAAAAACTGGTACACTGTAAAAATGACTACTGTGTTAAACAGACTTTAATGGATGACTAGGAAGCCTTTACTTTCTGTAAAATCTCAGTGGTGGATGACCACTGTGTGTTATCACAGATAAAGAAGCTACAAAATTCAATCTTACAACTGTGTAGAAAGACAAAGTAAAGCATGATAAATACACATAAATCCTCTTCATTTGTAACTCAGGGAAAAATAAAACTCCCATACAAGGTTTTGGTAAGTACTCAGTGTAACAAAAATCGAACTTAACCGTTTGGCTCGAACTGTCAAATGAAACTAAGAAATGAGAAAGCAATAGGCAATTTCATCTTCCACAGTTCGAGGTGGGCAGAGAGGAATAATTTCAATGTAATACTAACCTATCAATGTAGTAACTGCAAAACTGGAATTGAGCAGAAGATCTAACTGTAAACAAGCTGAAGGGAAACAAAACCCCAACAAACCCATAATACTTACCTGCGACTAGTTGTTTTCTTTTCTGTCTTAGCTTCTTCCTCTTGCATTTGCTGTTTAACATTTTCACTTGTATCAATTTTCAACTTCTTGGCAATGCGTTCTTTTATTTCAAATCTCTCATTGCTAGCAGCTTCACCTTCTACACTATCAGCATCTTCATCATGTTCTTCTTCCTCCTTTATTGATTTAAAATGATAAAACTTCTCCTTTAGCTTTTTTTTTTTTTACTACAGAATGTTGAATATGGAAAATTTTTCTTACAAAGATAATCCATTACAAAAAAAAAGTACCTAATTTCAAAGCAAACTTTTCAAACAAGTATCTCCTTATTTGCTTCAGAGGGAATGAAAAATTAGAGATATGATCATCAAATATTTTTTCATACATAAATTACATCTTTTTTGTCTGGCTTAAAAAACTAAAACAGTCTATTCTAGACTGTAAACCCTTACGGTTCTACAGAAGACCTCATAGCAACGTGGTATTAATCTGGTCATTGTTCATGAATGTAAAATTTGATCAAGATGACACATTAAACATTTCCTTCATTTTTCACTAAAAGAAAAACAAAACTTATTAGGAACTTCCTGCCACAGGGCTACACTACAGTCATGATGGGATGTAAGAGGTTTGCCCATCGGTCTCCCTGAGGGAATCTAGAACTACCACATTGATCAAAAGAGGCTGTGAAAACCTGTGGAATCAATCATCACAACTTGCTACAGAGGTACTATGCTTCCAGGCCTAGCAGAGGAAGGCAAAAGGTGATAAACTGGAGGGAGAACTAAGTCATTTCTCTCAGAAATGATGAAGCGGCCCAACCAGACCAAGAGATCTAAGCTTCACTACTTCCTTCCTTGAAGAAGGAAGCCTGCATGAATCTTAATGGAAGGATGCCAGCTCACAGGCTAGATGGCACATCTTTTTATACTTACTTTATAGCGATGCTAATTAGCTAAAGAAAAAGTGTAAGATGCTATGTGATTGTAATTTTAACCACACAGAGCAAAAGGATAGACTTAGAAATGGCACTCCAGAGGACTGTACTGTATCCAGGAGACTGCCAGGACGTCAGCATTTGGAGAGGAACACTCTAAAGACAATGTACACGTCCTGGGTGTGACTAACAGGTAGGACGAAGAGTAGCATGAAGACAGTATCCATAAACATGGAGGGGGAGCAGGGAGAAAAATGAAAGCAGCAAGAGGCAATTTTAGGAATAGAAAAAAAAAAAAAATCAAGAGCTGGATTTCACATGTTGTATTTGAGTCACTGTTTAGGAATCTTCAGACTACCATGCTTAGATTTTAAATTTAGACAAGACCAGTCAGGAATAAAAAATTAAATCTGTGAATATTCAGCACAGTAAAATACCTGAATATTTTGTCAATGAAATAACTGAAAGGATGTTGTGGGGGTTTTGTCTGTTCTTTTCAAATAGGGGAAAGACAAAAGTGGAATAGGATCAGCATTCCACTTAATTTCCCATGAAGTTATTGTTTGACATTGGAGATAATGAAGCTTTTTGAAGGATTTGCTTGCTTGAGAAATTACCAGGTAGAAAGGATGACAACAGACTTCAATGGCAGGGGGCAGAATCCAGAAAAGGAACATGGCAGGACTGTGTTCAGGGTGTTTAGCAGTCAAGGATGAAGACAGACTCCTGGTGGAGATTTGGCTAGGGCTTAGGTAAAAGGACTTAACTGAAACACAAAGAGTTGGATAGGAGAATTTCTAGAATAAAAATGGACAACTCTAGACAAATTGCAATTGCTAAGTAGTAAGCTAATTCAAAAATACAGAAATCTGAGTAACATGAGGGGGATTCCATGGACATATTTTAAAATGGGAGAGAGAAAATGGTTCAACTTGGCCCAACTCAGCTGAATTCCCCACCTCCCAAACCTTCCATTCCCCTCACTCTGCATAGGATTTCAACAGTTTTCTTCTAGAAAAACACCAACAAAATAGGATATAACCCTCCTCCTCAACCCCTTCCTTCCTGCAACTCTTTTCTCCCACCCAGTCTCCTCCTTCAACCCCTTTTCTGTCTCATTAACTGCATCTGATCTTGTATCTTTTCGACTCTCATTTTTCCAAAGTCTCATTACCAACTAATAGATTTAACACATTTCCACCCAGAGTGGCCTACATGACAACTCAGGAGGGAAGTGGCTGTTCAGTTGGATGATGGTGTTCCCCTAGTGACACAGGAATGCGAAACGGCCTGCCTGGAACCTGTACTAGTTTTTGCTGCTATTGTTAGCTGGGTAGAGTGGCCCTATTCTTCAATTTGCTCTAGAAATAAAAATGTAATGAGAGATTTTGTGTTACTGTATGTAACGTGATTTAGCCATTTGAGAAGACTATTGAATTGAGGGGTCGGTATTGAAGTTTATCGATCCATAGTACTATACAAAACTTACTGTTTGTTAACTGACAAACAGGGAGAGGAAAACAAGTTGTGCAGAAAGGGGAAATGGAGGAATGTCAATGGTGGGGAAAAAAAATTCTGTCTTGGAACACATTTCGTATAATGTTTTCATTAACGACTTAAGCACAAAAAGAGGTTTAACAAATAGCGATGAGGTACTGTTAATACGAAGGATCCAACTCTCAAAGCATGAAATGTATGACCTTGAGGACTGCAGTAAGAGAAACAGGATGATATTTAATAGCATGAACAGCAAGGTCAGGTGTTTAGGGAATAATAACAAGAGTTTCTCTTACACACTAGGGGCTTGTTATTTGGGGGAGGTAGGGAGACCTGGAAGAATTATTTGCTCATAGGATGGCTATAAAACTATCAATGTGTTGCAGCCGTGTAAATGAGAAAGTGATCCCGCGATGTGTTAACTGAAATAAATTCAAGAGAGATGATAAAATACTAGTACCACTTTACAAGGCTCAGGAAACTCTCTGAAATGCTAGATTCTAGCTAAGATATTTTAATGAAATTAAAATTAAGGAGAGCACCTGCAGGAAAAAAAAGTCTTCTTATTTCCTACTTCATGACATTATTATAACAGCATTCAGATTAATTAGGCTAAAAAATAAAAATTTAAATAAATATACCTAACATGTCCCTGTTCTATATTCCCCAAATCCAGTTCACTGAAAGGGCTTTTTGAACACCTGAAGAATTATTAAATACCATTATCAGAACCCTTCTAACACTTAAAATGTTCCTGCACAGCAGGAGTTACAAAGAAGAAGAGTCCAAGAACGTGAACTCATACTATGCTTTGTGGAAAAGACAACAGGAAACAGAGTGGAAGCAGACTGTTTTCTTTTTTTTAGGCACAAGAATTGGGTAGTTTGTGTATTTCCTTCACTTCCACAGTGCATCAACTAACAGTTAAGTACCTGTGCATGGCGGATAGATAAGGAAAACCCTAGTTTTCTGGATTCAGTTTGGGGAATAGATAGATAGATAGATAGATAGTAGATAGATAGATAGATAATAGATAACACTCCTAGTCAAATATTACATCCCCGTCTCAACAGCAACTGAACAGGGTATCCCTATGACCTGTGGCTGGAGGCAAAGACATACTTCAGCTAGCAACCTTACTCTGCAACCATATACAACAGTCTCCTTGTAATTAAAATAGCTTCCACGTTTGGCTGAATGTTACTGCTTGGTATTCAGACTGCCTGTCTTTCAGAGGTGACAGTCTTCATCAATACAATTTAAGTGATAAATATTCACAGAAATTTTGTTTCCTTGAAGAAATCTTTCCAAGAGGACACTCACTCATACACAGACATTGGAGTTATATCATTATCCACAACAAATTTAATTTTAACTTTTTTATTTAGCAGCAATTTCAGGGCTTTTAGTAACGGTTTGTCACTCTGTGGTACATAACCTCCCATATACCTAAATCTACTGACTGAAATATCTGGTAAGCAGTTTTTATAACATGCAGTAGTAACTCTACCCTGCTGTGAATGTTCACAATGGCCAAACCTTAGAGCTCTGAAAGGGCCTCCAGCTTTTTGCTGGAAATCTGACTTGAGCTAGTTCTCAAAAACCTCTGAACTAGCATTTGTTACCCTAAGAAAATCTAATTCATACACAATAAAAAACAAAGACTTAATTGTAAACAAACAAACAAAAAAAGTTACTTACCTCACTCAAATCCCTTTCTTCACTTGCTGCTTCACTAAAAGAAGGAAAATAATTGTTAACTACTTTGAAGTACAAGAGGAGATTTAAAAGAGTGCTTAAAAAACCCAGTTCTTAAGTAAAAAAAATGTGTGTGGTTAGCTACTTAGAACTTTAGTCAACCGAGTCATTTGTATCATCTTCACATTCATCTTAAAAGAATCACTGAATAGTATTTTCTATCATTTGACTGTCATGATCCTTTCTAACTAGAAATGTTTAAAAACACAGACTTTCATACAATGGATAAATTCTAAGCATAGGCTGAGCTTTCCACACAAAACACTAAAGTATATAGTTAAAAAAAAAAAAGAAAACCAAACAACACAACTCACTTGAGATGGATGTTTTTCATCTCACATATCAAACAATTTCTAGCATTTGATTGCAAACAGTCTACATTTTGGAAAGCCTTCTTTTTATAGGCATGTTCAACATGCACTATACTGATAAGTAAGCTTAACATCAAAATTTTCATTTGTTACACAGATAAGTTCAGTATATTAAAAAAAGAATCTACTTGAATATACTAAGGCTAACATATCCACTGTTAATTGTCACAAGCTAATAATAAAGACCCTTGAAGAATTTTCCATCCCACAATTTAAAAGAGAAGTTATGTTAGAGGAACAAAGCAAGGAATATTAAAGGAGTCCCCAGAATCAAGGCTTTGAGATGTGCTCTAAGCCATCAATAAGTAGCCAAGGTCATCAAAGAAACTATAAATTTGTTGGAATCAATAACGTTAATTTCGTTTAAAAAAATTAATCCAGAAAACTCGCTGTGGAAGTGTTTCTTAACAGAAGATTATAATTAAAAAAACCAAACCACATTCATGAGTATTAAAGAAAATATTTAGAATGCATCCAGAGCTGTAATTCTGATGTCAGTCCTGAACAAGTAGAAGCCACAGTAAGAGGTCAAATGACCTACCTGGGATTTGTGATGTTACTATAAAGCGAACTGCCCTACCAACCTCTGGGAGTGTTTTGAAGGGGCTACACGTGGTTGTGGATGATCTCTCTGATATATTTGGACCCACACAGAATCTCTAACCAAAGGTTTTCAAGGAATTTAAGTAGCTCTACGGTGATGGAAAAGCCCATGCATAAATAAACACATGGTAAAAGACAGGAGACAAAAGTTAGAAGCAAACAATCACTTCTTGCAATGGAGCAAGATCACTAGTATATACCCACAGTAGTCTGTGTTGGGGCTTGAGCTGTTCACTGAGCTCAGTAATAAAACAGGCATACAGCCAGGTCACTGAGTTTTTTGATAATACGAAGTTAGTCAGCATAGTAAAGCCAAGAGCAGACTGAAGAATTGCAGAAGGACCTGAATAATGAGACAATAAAATGACAGATGAAATTTGGGGTAGACAAAAGTAAAGCTATGCACATGAGGAAAATGAGTCCCACAGAACAAGGAGAGGTCAGCTGACCATCACTGATCATAATGTGTCCCTCAGGGGTCTGTACTGTGACCAGTACTGTTCAATATCTTCATCAATAACACAGAGAGTGGGATCAAGCGCATCCTCAGCATATTTGCAGATGACACCAAGCTGAGTGGTGAGGATGACATGCCTGACGGATGGGATGCCATCCAGAGGGACCTGAGCAAGCTCGAGAAGTGGACCCATGTGAACCTCAACAGGTTCAACAAGGCCAAATGCAAGGTCCTGCACCTGGGTTGGGGCAACCCCCAATATCAACATAGGCTGGGGGACGAAGGGATTGAGAGCAGCCCTAAGGAGAAGGACTTGGGGGTAATGGTGGAGGAAAAGCTGGACATAAGCTGACAGCATGTGCTCACCGCCCAAAATGCCAACTGCACCTTGGGCTGCGTCAAAAGCCATGTGGCCAGCAGGTGGACGGAGGTGATCCTGCTGCTCTACTCTGCTCTGGTCAGACCCCACCTGCAGTCCTGTGTCTAGCTCTGGGGCCCTCAGCACAGGAGAGACATGGACCTGTTGGAGCAGGTCAAGAGGAAGCCACAAAAATTATCCGAGGGCTGAAGCACCTCTCCCTTGAGGAAAGGCTGAGAGAGTGGGGGTTGTTCAGCCTGGAGAAGAGAACACTGCAGCAAGACCTGATTGCGGCCTTTTGGTACTTAAAGGGGGCCTACAGGAAAGATGGGGGCAGACTTTTTAGTAGCGCCTGTAGTGATAGGACAAGGAGTAATGGTTTTAAACTAAAAAAGGGTAGATTCAGAATGGATATAAGGAAGAATTTTTTTACAATGAGGGTGATGAAACACTGGAACAGGTTGAAGATGTCCCTGCAGGGTAGTTGGACTAGATGACCCTTAAAGGTCCCTTCCAACCCAAACTATTCTATGATAAGCAAATTTTTGGAGTTGATATATTTTCATGGGATTGTCAAAGCTCAATACTCAACAGTGGTTAAAAAAGCAAATCTGAAGTTAGTAAGTATTAAAAAGAAATAAAGAATAAAAGAGACCATTTTAATGCAAGTGTACAGATCTATGATTCACCTCAGTTTTAATATGTTGCTTAGATTTGGAAAAAAAAAAAAAAAAAGATATTTTAGAACAGAACCAGGGTTGTGAAGAGCCACAAGAAACCACAGGTACAACTGTGTGAAGAAAAGTTGACTAGGCTTTAAGAGTTTAGGGTAGAAAAGAGATTGCCTAGGAGGGGATTGTGGTAAAGAGAGGTATAAAGGGACTGTTCACTGTCTCTTCCAGCATAAGAGTTAGAATTTATCAAATGATGCCAGCAGCAGCCAGGTTCCGAACAAAAAGGGGAGGTACTTCTTCCTGCAGCAGACAGGAGAGTGGGAATGTACACAATATTACAAGAGACTGAATAAGTACTTTAGAAGTGCTCTATTAAGGATTACTATACAGGATGAACTACATCAAACTCTGACAGCCCCCTGAGCTGAAAGGAGAAGGAGGCAGAAGATGACTCAGGTAAACATTATGCTTGCCCTGCTTTTATTCTTTGTTGGCCAATGTTGGTGACAGCATTGGAGGTTAGAGGAACATTTGGTCTGATCCAGCATTGCCATTCTTACTTTCTTAAAGACTAACAGACAAACAATGAGTATACATGATGCTAATCAGCTCTAACATCCTGAAAGTAAGCCTGTTCTGGAAAACTGAAGTCACATATTAACCTTTTGACAGCAGGAACTGAGCTTAGATGTGGATCATCCTTCAGCAGATCATGACTACTTTTACTTTTTCCCTTCATGCTCTGTTAAAAAAAAAAAAAAAAAAAAAAAAAGTATTATATATTTCAGCATTTGAGAGAATACATGGTGAAAAAGGATAATGGCAAGAAAAAGATAACTTGCTTTTTGTTAGCTTTAGCCTAACCAGTAAGCATAAACACTTTTAATAGTAGAACAGAGAAGGTATTCCAGAAAGAGGAGGATCAAACTGGCCCCGTGGATTTAAAAATTATTCTTCTAATAGCAATGCACTCAATTTTAAAGGAAAGAGAAAAAAAAGATTGTTTAATCATCACAAATAAAGATACATAGTCTAGCACATATATACTTGAGTGAATGGTATATGGCAACTCAAAGAACTACCATGTTCAAAGTAGTATTATCAACTGACAGAGCACTTAGACTCCTAGAGAAAAAAAAAACAACCTGCAATACATCATGCAGGAATCATATACTGAAGCACAGACAAATAAATCTTCATATAAGATCTTCAGGCAGAAAGACTGCAGTAAGAAAGCATTCCCCATGGTAATCCAAAAAGTACACTTAAATTTCAGACTGAAATCAGACTGAAAATCTCTGTTACAGAAATAGTCTGTATTGTGATTTGAATGTCTCCATTACAGCTGCATTTTATAATCCTTTCAGGAAGACAGCAATTGTGTGGATAATAAAATCTTAACTAATTTAAACACAACTTCAATTTTTTATTATATAGAAAAAAAGACTAACATTCAGCAACGCGAATAATTACTTCCTTCAAGAAGTAATTTGTGGGGGTTTTCAGAAGGTAGATGAAACCGTAAGACAAATGCTTATCACCTTCGTAAACTGCTCCAAACCAGTACAGACAAATGTAGTTTGGACACTGAAAGTGTCAGTTTAAACACTAATCAACAACCACCGGAAGCCCCACTGTCAGGTCCCTGAATGTACTAATAGACTTAGTGGCCTTGAGGAGTTTTACCTAGAGCTCCTCTGCCCATGCGCACCATTTCAGCTCAGGCCTGAGAATCCACACACTGTCTGAGCTATGTCAGAGGTGTACCTGTGCCCAACCCCATCTTCTGGATGGGCCTGGTTGACCCACATTACAGACTTGTGTCCTGGTTTTGACTGGGATAGAGTTCGTTTTCTTGAAGCTAGTGGCTTGCATAGTACTGTGTTTTGGATTTAGTACTAGAAGAACGTTGGTAACACACTGATGGTTTAGTTTTTGCTAAGTAGTGCTTAGACTATACAAGGGCTTGTCAGCTCTCAGCTCTTCCAGGTGCACAAGAAGCTGGGAGGGGACACAGCCAGGACAGCTGACCCAAACTGGCCAAAGGGATATTCCAGACCATATGACATCATGCTCAGTATATAATCTAGGGGAAGAAGAAGGAAGGCGGGGACGTTCAGAGCAATGGCATTTGTCTTCCCAAGTAACCGTTACGCGTGATGGAGCCCTGCTTCCCTGGAGATGGCTGAGCACCTGCCTGCCCATGGGAAGTAGGGAATGAATTCCTTGCTTTGCTTTGCTTGCACACGCAGCTTTTGCTTTACCTATTAAACTGTCTTTGTATCAACCCACGAGTTTTCTCACTTCTACCCTTCTGATTATCTCCCCCATCCCACTGGGGAGCAGTGAGTGAGCAGCTGCATGGTGCTGAGTTGCCAGCTGGGGTTAAACCACAACAACTTGTCTCCAGCCCTGTCTCATCTCTTGCTGCTTCTGACTGGACTCTCTAGATGGGGACCTTGGCCTTGGCTATTGCTTGCCATGTACAGGACTGTAAATGGGCCCTGTTACCAGTAACCAACTCTGCCTGCTGTATCCAAACCCTGTGGGATTGTGCCCCTGTTGGTGAGTGCACTGCCTGGGCTGGAATCAGCTCTTGCCTCCTTGCTCACCCTCCCTCATGCAGCTCATTCTGCTCTCACCGCTCCTTGACACAAACTTCCTTAATCCTCTGATCTCTGCCTTCTATAACCTCCTAGGGTACACAAATTTTCTTTCTAAGATTCATACTGTCTATAATATAAGCATTTAGAGACTCTCCTGCTACAGAAGACACAATTTGACCTGTAAAATTTAAAAGACACCGATGGCCCTAATGTCGTTTAATCTCTTTTTGAAAGTATTTATGCTCCCCACTTCAGTCATGTTCTGTGGCATAAACGTTGACAGCTGAAATTCCAAGAGGGAAAAGACTTTTTCTTTGTATATTTATTGTCTCATTTATCTTTGTGTCTCCACTTTCACATTGTAAGAAATAGGGAATAATCATTCTCTTCTCTCCCTCTCTCTCCCTTTTTTTTCCATTTTAAAGTTACCATGATCCATATCCCCAGCTATCTTTCTTTGTCCTTCTTCATACTCAGGTCTCAGGAACAAGAGTCTGGTGATGCATTGCAACAAAGGCAGAATGTTTCCCTCACTTAGACTAAGTGCAGTGCAGGCTGAACAAGTCCAGAGTAGAAATATTTTCATAATGGGGAAGATGGAGAAGAGACTTAGGGAGGCATTATTAAATTCAGTACTTACTTGGTTAATATAATGTGACTAGGACAAGAATTCTTAGTTTTCATGTGTAAACATGAAATCATTAAATACTGTAAAAAATTTCATCCTGATACATGGTGTTTTCATTTTCTCTTCAGATAATTTTAGCCTCAGCCTCACTGCACTAAAAATTAATAGATGTTCCCTTTTCTGTTAGAGGTTTCCTCAGTTACTTGCAGGCTTTCCTCTCAACCTCAGTCCTTAAAAGTATACCCTTCCTACATTGAAACAAGCAAGACTTACTGCATCTAGCAACCAAAAAGAGTTTACAGAATTTTGAATCTGCAGATGTCAAAGAATCCCATTATTAACTTTGACCTTCAATTTTTCTTATTGAAACAGAGAAGAAAGTTGGTGCTGAAGTTCACATACTTCAACTTAATCAAGACTAAGAACTGTAGAGATACTGATCTAGACCTATTAGAAGTAAGGAATGAGATTTGGAAAATTAGGTTTCATTCTGTTGTAAAGAATGAATAGGATTTCTTCATAAACAGTTGATTTGGATATTTTTCCAGCTATAGCTAGTCCAGAATTTAGTTAGGACAAATATGAGGATGAGATTTTAAGACCGAGTTGAAGACAGCATGACAACACTGAAACTGGGCTTGTCATAAAAGAGGTGTTCTATTTAGATCATTTTAAACTGAAAAACAAATATTTGGCATGAAAGGGAAGAACACCAAAGCAACAGAGTTAAATGCAATATTAAAAACCAGACGTACACCAAGAGCAGAACTGCAGAGGAGCACATTAAGGTAAACAAGTATAGTTTGTCTGACTGGCAAGTTGAAACTAGGACGAAAAATAGTTAAAACTACTGTTGTGATAAACCTCTACTATCCTCCTGACTGATACCATCTCACTGTAATATTGTCCATCATTATTCACTGATGTCTTTTGTACTTCAACTATATCCTGAGGACCATCCTTCTGCTTACTTCATACAAGACTCAGCACCATGTAGTCTGATCGATAACAGAAGCAGGTAGGTATCTGAACCATACTAGTAAGTAAGGAAGCCTAGGGCTCTAGAGGAATAATTTGATCAGCAGTAGAAATGAGAATGACAACTTGTTAAAGACATCTTTAAACTAACCTTACCCAAGTGGCAAAGTCAAATAAGGAAACATTAGACCAAAGACTACCTATGCAACCCTAGTTCTGTGAACATGGGCAATTCACAATAGTGCAATATTTAATTATCATAATGCACTATTTTCCTCACAATAACCCCACTTGACTTTGCACACAGAATGGATATCCATAAGAAAACAGAGCTAAGAATGCACTGGCAGTGAACAAGTTGAGCTATTTCAAATCTCAAGCAATTTACCATCAAATCACACTCTTATAATTAAGGAGCTGAAGAATAGGTATCTATCAACTCCATTAATTTTGAACAGCAGACAGAGATCTACACTATGAAGTATGAAACTTTATGGAAATGTAAAAACATCATGGAGTGACTAAAAGCACCTTCAAAGTTAGAAAAGCTAAAAACCTCTGTTTTTTCAACATGTTGAAACAGTAGAATCATAAAACTGAAGTAATTTCTAGTATTATTGTTCAAAACTCAAACGTAATTACAAGATTAAGAACTCTAAAGCTTTTCACAAACATGCAAAAAAGGTACTTCTAAGTTGAAAAGAAAAATGGGGACGATTTGGTACAGTACCTGACTAACTCTATTGACTTCCTCCTCTTCTTCTTCAGCCTCTTCCCCAAAGGAAAGCAGGTTAAAATTTCTTTAAGAGAGAAAACACATTTTCCAGAAAAACTTCAAATACTGCCTTATTAACATCCCATAAAATTTAAGCATATTACTTTCATATTGTATGCGATTTTTCAAAAACTTTTTGTCCTGCTAAATGTATCAAACTACATGGTTTTTTGCAATAAACCCTGAATATTTAGAGAAGCATGCTCTATTCTGTTCCTGAGACAAAACAATCAGAATAGCAAAGCATCACTTAGAAAATGGTAAGGCATTATTTAAAAAATTCTGCCTTGATTAACTTTCACAAACTCTTAAATGCTGACAACTCTGAAAACGGAGCAGTTGCATTTTTTAAAATTCTTTTTTCCAACAGCAACATTCAAGTACCAAACACAAAATTTTCAAGACATGATGGCTCAGAAAGGCATCAAGTGCACACATATTCACAGAATGTAATTAAAAGAAATAATGACCTTCTTTTTTTTTTTTTCCCAATTAACTGTTTACACTATGTTGGAACAAGTGAGTTGCAACATGTTATACTTCTGTCCAACAGAACTGACAGCATACACACACTTTAGATTTCCTATTACTTTTAATTGCATGGTTATGACTACCAAATTTAATTTACAGAAAACTACATTTCCTGTGTCAAAATGCTTTCCTTTGCTAAGCATTATGGTGGGAGAGAAGTGGTAGCTGATAAAATAAGTTCAAAACCCTCTAACAACTCAGCTGTGACTTAGTTACTAATACTTATTAACTTCTTTGTCATCTCAGGCACAAAAGAATGATCGCACATTCTTGTCCATGGGAAAGGCTTAAGCTATTTTTTACCTCTCTTTTACAACAAACTATCAGGATGCACAAAACAGTTACAGCTCAGTGGATGCACAGTAACCATTTCAGTCAGAGCAACTCGGTCTCCACCATCTCTTCAGAAACAGGGAAGCAGGTTTTGCTAAGGTCAGAGAACATTCTTCTGTGCATTTTGGTAAAGCCTTGCATCTCAAAAGCAGAAATAGAAAATTACCAAGCTGTAAATTAAAGGTGAAAGAAAATTAACCACCACTTATGTGGCATTTATTTACTTTGTGCCTTTCACTTTGGACTTTTTGATTTCTTCTTCTGGCTTGTCCTTCTTCAGCTTTCTATTTGGTCTTGGAACAATGTCATCAAAAGGATTAAACAAAACCTGTTGAAAAAGTCATATTTTAGACACATCTTTAATAAGTATTTTGTTATAAATAAATGATTCAATATTTTAAAAAATTATATAAAAAGACATGCCCAGTTTTCACACTAGGGCAGTTTTCTAAACACTATGAGCAAAATAATTTTAAAATTTCAAATTTCAAACCAAACCATACTCACCTCACTGCTTCTTATTTTGTGTGGACTGAGAGGTCGCTCTTCCTTGTCAACTTCTACTTCAGCCAGGCGTAACATGTTATATATTGTATCCCCTGTAACCTGTCAAATTTATAAAAAAACATTTGTAAGTCCTTGTCTATAATTTTGTATTACTCTGCAAAAATGCAAGGCAATTATTATGTAAAGAATGTTGAAAACAGAGATGAGACAGGAGGTACTGTAAGCATCTAAGACTTCTAAAAGACAGCGAGTACAATGTACAAAGGTTTGGGTTTTTTTAAGTATAACAAGCATAAGATGAAGGAATACAGGCAGATTAACCTGCATTTTTGAGAGTGTATGCAGGGGAAGATGTCATATTCTTACTGTGAGCTGTGAAACAGGAAAATAAAAAACACTGTCAAATAAAAAAGTAGTTGGTTTATTTTCTTTCAATTAACTCATGAGTAGTAAATTCATCTTCTGTTTTCCATTTTCCTGATTCTTCTTGGATAATTAGAATTTACAAACAGAATTTTCTAAAATGTCACGGTATTAGATAAACTGATTAATAAGACAGAGCCATAATAATATTAGTAAGATTACTCAAAGGAGCACAATGTGAAAATATAATTTAGAAGAATAACAACAGCAAAGTAGATAATCATGGGAACAAACAATAGAAACATTTCTACCAGACACGGGAAACAAATAGAACGCAGGCAGCTTAGAAAGCAGTGAAATCAATTTCAAATGTACATAGCAGCAAACACTAAAATAGCCTTGAAATACAGAGAAAGTTATAGTAGCTTCTGCTAAACTCAAACGGGGTCTCTAGTACGTGTAGCAGACCTTTCCAAAGATTGTGTGCTTGTTATTAAGTTCATCTGCACGACCCAATGTAAAGAAAAATTGACTCCCATTATCATGGGGCCCAGCATTTGCCATGGCAACAAGTCCTCTTCGATTAAATCGCAATCGTGAGTGGAACTCATCCTGGCAAAGACAGAAGAGAAAAGAACACAATTTAAGTATGTAACTATTTTTTTCCACTTCTTCAGCTATGTTTTATTTACATCAATATGCACACACAGAAAATATACTGCTCATTTTCTTTCAAATTCACACAGTATTTGTTACAGTATTTTGAAACTTAATGCCACAATTGTATTTAAAAGCTTCTGTTTTCAGCAGAAAAGATTATTTTTAGTCAATGTTTTTTCTTCTTAGTGCCTATAATAATGCAAACAAGTGAACAATCTTCTTTCGAAACAAACCATAACACCAGAGGAAAAAAACTGGAAACTAGTGTATCAATAATAGAAAGACACATGCTTTAATAAAAACCCTAAGTTCTATCTTGTTAACTTTCTCTTTTTCCAATCATTGCCTAATAATCAATTGTTATTCATTATTTTTGTTGGAACTTCTTATCTTCCCAATATTAAAAAATCCAAAGTGTTTCTAAAAGTAACCGCACTTCATACATTTCTTGTAAAACTATCATTCTTGTTAACCACTGCATTTAGGGTAAAAATCCTAATTCATGTACAATAACTGGAAGCTCAAACAGTTTGTAACAGTACAGTATTGCAAAAATCCTAAGAACTTTTTCTGGACCATGAGAAGACAGAATAGGACTACTTTCAAAGCAAGATGAAAGTGATGCGTAGTATGTTAATACCGTGGTAGTATCACAATTTTAAACACTGTAGTATTGAGATACCACTAATTTTAAGCAGTGATCCTACTACAATATTGGTAACATTTGTTTTGTTCTCCGCTGATGTACCAATCCCCTCCACAAACTACATTCATGTTAAATGTGTGAGTCTACTCTAGCAGCAGGGAGATGGAAGGCCCCAGAGAAAGGCTTCAGCCACGAGTTATAGGTGCCTCTGAAATAAAATAACCAGGCAGAACAGAACACAGCTGCTGTACGTGTGTAGCTTCATTTAAGATCTGAGCCTCTTGGTTAAGAGATGAGCCATACTGGTATCAATAATACCAATGAACAAAAATACAACATTCAGAGACCTTTGCTAAATGAGATACAATGTGCATAAACAAGGAAAATTTCTGCATCTGAGTTTGCCACATACACTTCACTCTTCCCCCTCCCTATATTTCCTTCTGAAGTTCATGCTAGCAAGGTTATACCCTTACCATAATATCAGAACAGCTAGATTTACGAGCTCTCAATTTAAAAAGGCATTTTAAAAAATACTGAAGCAACATGTGAAAACAATTACTGTACATGTATAACGCTGCATTTTTAATATAACTTTTGTTTTTTCACAACTTAACACAGTAGGAAGAACAACTGATAGAGAATACCCAAAAATTAATGCATAAGATATACAGATACGTACCTTGAAGGGAGCTCCATAGATTGAATCTCCACCTGATCCAGTACCAGTGGGATCACCTCCCTGCACTATAAAGCCAGGTACCACTCTGTGAAATATTGTGTTATTGTAAATATTAAATACATGTAAGTGGTCTCAAAATCAAATCTTCATATAGATTATGCAGAGATGTCCGGAGACTGAAGTTCCAGAAAGTAAGTGCTGTAACTGGATCCTGCTATTTCCACTGGGTTCCCTCCTCTTCCACCATCTTGCTGAGTGTGACTCTATCTCACCTACAAAGTACTGATGATGACACTTATGAAAAACAGTGGTGTCACATGTCTCCATTGCAAAAGACACTGCACATCACCAACAAGATGATATTGAATTATTTTCTTTTCAGCTTTTAAGTTTTATCCCTGGAATAGTACCAACGTACATTAATTTAAAAGGAGAGCTAAAACTACCATGCTCTGTCCCAGACACCATCTCACATACATCGTTAGCCACGTCCACACACCACACAGTTAGCATTTTCACTCACCAACATGGAACACAGGTGTCACCCCTTTCACCACCTACACTGTACCCAAACTGATAATTTTCATAGAATTAAATATGTGGTACATTTTCCTCCCTAAGTTATAGTCTTTTATCTGTCTATCAGATAAAGGTTATGAGATCATAAGAAAACAAAGGGAAAGTAAACTTAACTTTACTTGACATATCATTCCAGCTGATTTTTTTTAAATAAATAAAAATAAATCTGCAGCATGCTGCAAAAAAAAAAAAAAAGCAGGATCTGCAAATGTTGCAGCATAGCTAGATACATTAATGGACAGTTATATGCTAGTACACTCACAAGAGAAATAGTCAAATTTATTATATAAAGCATAGCATCCTACACAGCAGTCAGACAAATTCAGAAAGGAAATAAAGCCCAGTTTCTTTGGCACTGAGGATAACTGAACTCTTGGGACGTACCAAGGGTGAAGAAATTTTGCAATTTACCATTGCAAAAAATCTCAACGTCTCCACATTAGGTGTAAGAACATGGAAAAGGCTGGATCTGTGCTAGAGGCACAAATCCCAGACTGCCATTTTTCCTTAACAGAGGAGGGCTAAAAGAAGTCTTAACAACTCTATAAATGCATAAATGGGGTAATAGTAGCAGCTAGAAAACACATAAAGGCACCAGGTCCTTCACAAATTCTTGCTAGTTTTCCCAATAGGAAGCTTCTCATTTGGGTACCCACTATTTCAGTGAAGAGCATTACAGAGTTCCCATCAACAAAAAACAACAGCAAATAAAACATTAGAAGCACTCAAGAAAAAAATTAAAAGGTAGTAAAGATGGTGATACAGAAATGAGAATTTTGGAGGATGTCCAATATTGCATCATTGCCATTTCATACATACATTAAACAAGTAGTTATACTTTGTAGACACTTGCTGAATATAAACCTTCCCAAGCCTCTGGCATACAACTTTTCAGTAATACTACATCACCTGCTACATTTAAGAAATCCATATAAAATTTGTACTTTTTTCCCACCGAGTTCCTTGATAATCTTGAAAAACATTGTCTGAGTGTTAAGTCAATATTTTCTAAAAAAAAATAAATTCATTAACATAGTAAAGTTAAAACATAGTTATGACTTCTATTTTACAAAAAAAGGCACAAAGGTTGCATATGAAATAATTTCAAAAATTCCTATCCCATTCAGTCATTACCTTCCATACAAAGCTGGATGAAATTTCGACATGCTTTTGGTGCTTCTTTTGACCATAATTCTATATCTATATCTCCTGCTGTCGTTCTCAGCAAAACCTATAAAAATATGGGTAAATACAGTTAGTTTTATTGTAACTTAGCCACTGATCAAATAATATCATTGCTGAGTTAAAAAAATACTTCTGAATTCATTATATTAGTAACGGTAGTAGACACACAAATGTGCTCGGTAGTTACTGTTCGTTCTAGATCATATTGCCAGAACTTAAGATACAGTTTTGAACCGATAAATATAGTAAGGCTTCAAGGCACATGACATGAAACTTAGATACCCTTTATCACTTCCACAATGAAACAAGATGGGAAAAAACCCATAATTATGCCATGAGTCTCGAAAGGCATATACCTCTCTTCCAAGTAACACCACTAAATTCAGTGGGAGATCGGAATAAAATTAAGAACCCAGGGTACGGTCAAGAGTAGAGGAAATGAAATGAAACGCTTCAAGGGCCGCTCCGTGTTAGGTATCCACACAACACACACTTTGACTCAGGTAATGCCTTCCGGGGCTGTGTCACCTCCAGTCAGCTTTAATCAGAGCAGCACCACAGCGCGGAAACAACCACCACGGGCACGCAGCACTCATCCGCCTCGCCTCTCCTCCCCACCCCCCGAAACACACC